GATTGACAGCCTTGGAGACCCTGTGGGGCAGTTCCACTCTGTCCTCTAGGGGCGCTGTGAGTCAGAATTGACTCCACGGCAGTGGGTGTGGTTTGGGATATTTTAGTTTGTTTTTATTCCTTTTAAGGGACCCAAAGCTAAAATCTTCCGTGAAGTCCCTTCGCTTTCTTAACAGAATCAGCACACAAATGGTTAGCTAGCTTGGTGCCCACTCAGAAGCAGTTAAGCGCTCTGTTTTTCAAAGCCAGTGAGATTGACAGTGAGCTCTGCTCATTTGAGCAGAGAGATGAGGGACCTCATGTCAGAAGAACGCTGTCCTTTGCGGGTGGCTTTGTCCGGGCAGTCATGGCCACAGGCCAGCACCTTCACCCAGCTTTGTAGCGTTGTGTGCTCCAAGGCGCTTGGAGTTTTAAAATACGTTGACCCCATGAACACAGGTTCACAAATCCGTCAGCCAGGGGCCTGATGATCCCGCTCTCTGTTTCTGTCCTGGTTTTGGTCCCTGCGGCTGTGGAGCTGGGGGGAGCGGCCATCTGGTAGACCGTGTTGGGTTGTGCAGCCGAACAGCCTAAGTGGACAAGTAGCATATGCAGTTCAGGGCAGGTGCCACTGCGAAGCAGTTGGCGTCCCGGGCCGTTTGGGGACTGGTTCAGAGTGGAGGTCATGTTCCCCAAAAACAGAGGTTCCAGGGGATGGGTTCCCAGAAGCAGAGGCAGAAGGTGAGAACCCACGCCTCCTCCTTGGCCTGGAACGTGCCACTTCTGAGCCCTATCCTCCTGTTCTATGCCTCGTTCCCTGGGTAGCTTCCTAAAAACTTGAGTCGGTGCATGTCCTTGTCCGTAAAGCAGAAGAGCCTTGGTGGCACGATGGTGAAGTGTGACTGCTTCCCGTAAGGGTGGGGGTTCGAATCCACTTAGCGCCTTCTTGGGAGAAAAGACCTGGGGGGCTGCTTTGGTAAAACTCACAGCCTAGAAGACGCTGAGGGACAGTTCAGTCCTGTCTGTAGGCTCGCCATGCGTCGGAACGGGCCCGAGGGCACCCAGCAACACAATTACCTGGGTTCCGATGCCCATGCGACGCGTGTCTTCCCAGGTACCAGCCGGAGCAGCCCAACGTGGTGTACCAGATGGCCAAGACCAGTGACGAGCTGGACCAGGCGGATCAGAACGAGCTCGTGAGCACCAGCGACTCCCAGACGGGCTTTCTACCGGAAGCAGGGTTTTCTTTGAAAACCATACTGTTCCCCAAAAACACGGAGCCTTCCAAACTCTCCGGGCTAATTGTGAACATTTCGACCAGCTTCATAGGTAAGAGCCTGACCTTCCCTGTAAGACACTGGGGGGTCCTGCTTCTCAAACGGCTTGTAAGACATTGGGGGGTCCTGCTTCTCGAATGGCTTATGGCTTCTTGTCAAAGGGGGTGCAGGGTGGAAGGCACTGAAGGGCATGAGCCTCGGTCCAGCTCCAGGGCTGTGCTGTCGGCATCGGCCTGCAGGAGCGGGCATCCCTCTGCACACGTTTGGGGGCGCAGTGGGAAATGGCTCGGTGACCCCTTCTCTCTGCGTCTCAGCCATCCTCATCGTCACCTTCTGCATGGTGACGGTGCTGGGGAAAGAGGCCCTCGCGGCCGGCACACTGTGGTCGGCCTTCCTGCTCATGGCGTCTGCGGTCCTTTGCTTGGTGGTCACCGTCGTCATCTGGAGGCAGCCCGAGAGCAAGACCAAGCTCTCGTTCAAGGTGAGCATCTGCCGGGCGGCCTTGGAAGGCAGCAGCGTCTGGTGCTCCTGCTGGGAGCCCAGTCACGGGCAGACCTCTGCCGCGGCATGTGGGCCGGAGCCTGGGGAGAAAGACACCTGGCCCTCAAAGGTGGGGCAGACTCAGATGGGGAGCCACGGCCCTTCCGTCGGCCTCAGCTGGTACAGTGCGCCTTGTCCCTGTGGCGTCCCGTGGAGGCCTGCCCCGCTGGGCGCCTGCCGGGCCTTGGACGACCAGGCAGCTGCACTCTTAGGTTATAGTAATACGTCAGTACACTCCCAAATAAAACATCCAACCGTGGCGTTGCCAGGGCTCAGAACCCCCCTGTCCCCTTGAGTAGGAGAGTGAGCAGCAGGAGGGGACAGTTGGAAGGGAGCTCCCCGGGCAGCTGGTGGCCGAGAGTCCTGTCAGCATTGGCCTGTGGGGTGGGGGTGGGGTGGAGGCGTGTCCTGTAGAGTGTGTTGAGGTGTGTGGGTGTGTGTTGGGTGTGTGTGTGTTGGGGTGTGGGTGTTGGGGATGAGATGTGTTGATGGGCGTGTGTACGTCATTGTGTTGGGAAGCGAGTATGTGTTGAGGTATGGAGTATGTGTTGGGGGATGCGGGGTGTATTAGGAGGTGTGTGTGTTGGACCATGGGATACGTGTGGGGTTCTGCACTGTGGGGACTGGTACTATCCTTCCCCCATGCTCCCCTGGCAGCCCTTGTGAGTTTCACGTAGGGTGTATGTTGGCGTGGGTACCGGGGTGTGTGTGTTGTGTTGAGATGGTATGGGTGTGTGTTGTGGGGTACACGTGTGGGGTGGGAGTTGGGAGTCGGGGGTGGAGGTGTGTGTGGGGGTACGGGGTGTGTTCGGGTCTGTAAGTGGGGTTGGGACGGCCCCTCCCGCCCCCTGGCCATGCGTGTCTCCGGCGCACAGCCTTCTCCGGTCTCTTGGCTGAGTCCCGCCCGGCGCCCTCCCCTGCTGTCTGTGCCCTGACGCCCCGTCTCCCGGCAGGTGCCCTTCCTGCCGGTGCTCCCCGTCCTGAGCATCTTCGTCAACGTGTACCTCATGATGCAGCTGGACCAGGGCACGTGGGTGCGCTTCGCCCTGTGGATGCTGCTGGGTGAGTAGCGGGCTCCCGCGGGCATCTGCGCCCTGTGCGCGCGCCCGCGCTTCTCCTGTCCTCCCGGCCCCTCCCCCCCAAGCCGCCGCTGATCTGCAGGCGCCGTCCGTGCTCCCCGGCCGGTGGCTGCTGCCGCCAGCCCCTCAGGTCGGACTGCAGCCGGCAGTGCACACGCGTCTCGTCTCGGCAGCTTCCCCTAGACAACGGGAACCCTGGGAGGCTGGGGCCCCGCCCTTGCCGCCGAATGGACCCAGCTCATGGCGACGCCGCGTGCGTTGGAATGAACGGTGCCTGTGGGGTTTTCCAGACGTGGGTCACCAGGCCTTTTTCCTGAGGGACCTTCAAGTGGACTTGAGCTCCAGCCGCTGGGTGAGCAGCCGAGCACGCGGCCGTTGGCCCCAGGCGAGGACCCCTTTATGACGCTGCTCACGTCAGCAGCAGCCTTTCGCCTGAACTCGTTACCTCATGAGGCAAGAGCTTGGTGTTAGTAAGAGCAAGGTGATGAGTACACGGTCAGCCAGGAAGCAGTTAGTGTCACGTCACACAGGGCGGCAGAGTGGCCCCAGGGCCTGGCAGGTCCTGGCTTCTGGGCACCGGTGGGGCTGGGTGACAGCCCCCAAGTTCCCCTGAGCTCCCACCATCACCACTGGTGACAGGGTCTCTGTAGAAGGGTGGGCACTGGGGAGCACGAGTGAGGTGCTGATGAACCAAAACCCAAAACCATACCAGGTGCCGTTGGGTGCACTGGACAAAAGGCCTTACTTCTCAGGCAGCAGAGCTGTCTGTCGGCACTGAACCGGCACCACCCGGACGTGGCCGGAGAAGCCCAGGAACGTGGGGGCTGAGCTCTTGGGCCCAGCCCCACGCCTGCTGGCCTCCCTTCAGCCACTGCCACCACAGCTGCAGAGATGGGCCCTGCGTGTCCTGCTGGACCCAGAGCTCAGCTGGAGCTGGCTGGCTCCTCAGGCCTGGCCCTCTTGGGGGCTGACTGTGTCACTCACTCGCTGGGCTGCTGACACGGGGGGCTGATGAGACGCGTTAAGCCTTCTTCCGGTCCAGTCTCTCACTGGTGCCCAGATGCTGGTGCTCTGGGGCTGGCCTGGACCTTTGAGCCCGGTGTTGTGTCACCATCATGTCACTTAGGGACCATCACCCTGCTGAGCCCCAGGGCCTCCAGAGGCTGTGCCAGGAGCCCGGGTGCTGGCCGCTGCTCCCCCCCCTCCAGGCCCTGCAGGGCCCCCTTGCCTTGAAGTCAGACTAAAGTGAGTCCCTGCCTGGTGTGCATTTAAGCCAAATCAGTTCACGTACCCTGCGTACTTGAGAGATGAGAAAGATTTATTGCCATGCGTGTGGTAAGGAGACGGGGGCCCAATCTGACTCCCCGAGTGGGGCTGGTGTACAGTTTTTGTGAAGTTCAAGAAAGGGTCTACACGTAATCATAAACATTTTGGAATTTGGGCGTGAATAGCTGGAAGTTGCCTGAGGTTTTGTCCACCTTAGTTTAAAGGGACAGTCCGTTTTTAATGCAGTGCGCTTGCACACCAGATGAGTTACACCGCTTCCTGTTGTCGTCAGCTGATCGGGGCTGAGGCAGAGGGGGATGTTAGTTCTTGCATCTTTGTCCATTTGTCTCACTGCATGTGTCTGCGAGCCAGACCAGACCTGAGCTGGTTTTAACCGATTTCAAGTTGGTCTAGGCTGGGTTTCTGAAAAACAGCTAAGGAAACGAGTTATCATGCCCGCTTATCTGTCTCCATCCAGGGGGGAGGTAGTTACAGAGAGGACGGGAATTGAGTTACAGTTGATTCAGCTTCCCTCTCGGCCTCTCCCATCCAGCCTGCGGTGAGGGCGTGGGGCTGCTGGCCGGGCCTGGACCCGGGGCCTCGTCAGGGTCCGCGGGGCCCTGTCAGTTTCGTCCTGCTCACGCCTCCCCCCTCCTCCTCTCCTCAGGCTTTATCATCTACTTTGGCTACGGCCTGTGGCACAGCGAGGAGGCGTCCCTGGCCAAAGGCCAGGCGAAGACTCCTGATGACAACCTGGACCACTGCAAGTGACAGGGCTCCAGCCGGGGGAGCGGGAGCCCTGGGGACCCTGCGATGGTCTGGACCACGCCCTCACTCTCTCGGCCAACGGGACAGGAGACGCCCCCCTGCAGAGAGCCCCCCCGCACGGCCCACAGTGCGATTACTTGAACTGCAGCCTCAGCCCAAGACGCATGCTTCCCGCCCAGGCCCAGCTCTGAGGCCACCCATGAGGCCCCAGTCACCGCCCAGCAGCACCCTGGCTGGGGCCTCACAGCTGGGGCCAGCTCGCTGTGTGTCCTCACCTCCCTCCGCAAAAAGAAGGCCGCTTCTCTCCTCTGCTCGCCAGCCCAGTGCGGGACAGGGACTGCCACCTCTCGGCGACCTGGAGAATCCCGGCCTCTCGCTCCAGGGTGTTGAAAACCCTCATACTCCAGATTTCTCAAAGCCCTCTCCCTCCTCGGCCAGTCAGCTGGCCAGCGTGCGAGCCGGGTGTCGCACCCCATGTCCACCTCAGCCACGTGGCCCTGGTTTCACTGCACAAGGACAGACAAGGCTGCCGGCTGAAGGCCCGTTTCTGGACCGTGGCGCCCGCGGCAGCAGTTACCTCCTTCCCAGCCCCCGCTTTGCTTTGACACTGGGACAGTCGCTGGATGGCGCCTGGGAGCGCCCGGGCCACTGCGGCAGCGTTGGGAGCGGTGGTCACGCCTGGGTAAAGGGGAGCTCGGTGCTTGCCACCGGTGTGTGCGACCCCCCAGCGCACCCCTCTGTGCTCTGTTGCCTGAAGGCCCAGGCTGTTGGAGCCGCTCCAGGGTGTCGCCCGGCTGTGTCTTGAGGAACTGAATGGACGGTTGCCTCTGGAGGCCTGGCTCCCCACCGACAGACTTCATTCTGGGGGTCTCCCCCATCCGTCTGAGTCTTGTACTCCCCTGCTTGCCGTCAGTCTTTTGGGGTCTTGTTAGGTCCTCGAGGCAGGCGTGGCCGACACCAAGGCAGCGGCGCCCCGCCCTCCAGGCCTGTGCCCTCTGCCTGCCCCACTTCTGACGTCCTATGCCATTGGGTTCTCTTATGAGTTGCTGTGAGTCACTCCACCAAATTAAGTCGGGGTTTAATGTTAACGTGGACGACGGCCCCCTGTTGTCCCATAACGGGCACGTGGTTGAGGGGCTGTGGTCTACAGGGCAAGGGTTGTGTTGACTTCCTTCTGGTGGCTTTGAGGGCCACATGCTGCATGCTCACATACACTGACTTGGCAAGGCCGAGCGCCCACGTGTCCAGCCGGCCCTGCATGGCCCTCTCTGGGCGCCCACGCGCACTGCAGTCCACGCCACCCTCCTGTCCACTGGCTGAGCCGCAGTTCCATGTAGGGTGTGACTAAGAAGACGGGACAGCCCCCCGTGTCATTGGGAGGTGACGGGACGTCAGCACGTTGGACAACGTGAAAACAGAAATGTTCCTTTCCGGCTGCTTCCCATTTTTTCCCAGTTGATCTCTGACACATGTGGTCGCACGAGGCCCGTGAGTTGATGGCATTTGCTTCTTCCTCTGTCTCGAGGCCCGTGAGTTGATGGCATTTGCTGCTTCCTCTGTCTCGGTGCTGGAAGGCCCAGAGAATGGTCCTAAGGCTGAGTGGCCCTCCTGGAAGGAAGCCTAGTAGAGGATGGGCAGAGGGAGTGAGGGCTCCTCCCGGAAGGGCTGGGGCAGCCTCCTTGGGCACTCAGGCCCACATTTGTTGAATGTTCCAGAGAGATTGTCGCCAACAGTCCAAGGCTTGGCTTTCCAAAGAAAGGTATTTAAATTCCTGTAGATTGGTGCTGTACAGTATTTTGATAAATACTAACTTATTTTAGCAGGGTTTTGCTTATCTGCTGTCTTCTTGGGACCTATGCACTGTTTTATTGTTTGCTGTAGTTTTCTGTTCTCTTTCTATGTGAGCCAGAGAAATTGAGGGAGGGGAGGCTATCCAAGAAAGGGACAGGAGAAGGGGACATGTTTTGTTTACTGTAATTCTCTTTCTGGCTGAGAGTTCACTGCAAGGCAGGACCCAACAGAAAGCAACGATTGAGTGGACATGTCAGCTAGCGACATAGATTTTGACGAAGGGTGGATTTTCCCCAGAGACGTCTCCCCGAGAGTCTTGGGACAAGTGTGAGCCTCCTCCTTCCTTCACCCCAAAGCCTTAAAGTTTCAGAGAGAAGTACCCCCGGGCTAGGTGGGAATCCCCGTCCCTCCCTTTTAAAACAGGACACCCCAGGTGACTCGGCAGGAGTCGTTCACCAGGTCACAGTGCTACGTGGTAAGAGTTTTGTAGGGTTACCAGGGTTTTTCTCTTGTGTGTAAAGACAGTGATGGAAGAAATGGTGTTACGGTTAGGCCTGGAAATACAGTAGACTCTTCCTTATCACGCTTGGTCCCCCATACCCCTGAAATAAACACGTTCACACATCCCGAGGCAGCAAAAGGCTGGGGTTACCATCTCATCCACTCTCCCTGAGGGGAGTGTAACTCATTTTCACGCTTGGCCACTCCTGTTTTGCACACTCAGCCTCCATACCCCTTAGGGAATACCATGTAGACTTTGAGCACCCACCCAAGAGACCCCAGGCAGGAAAGCCCCACTTGGGGTGAGTGGCCTCTGCCCTCTCTCACGGTAACTCCCAGCCCTATATGTTCTCATGACCTCTCGGGGCCACACTCATTAATTCAATTGCTGGAAGAGATGGGTGGAGGGGGGTCTACCTTGGTCCGGTCCCCCCGCCTTCAGCTGTAGGATTTGTTTGACAAACCGGGAAGGGCTGTAAGCTTATCTTTGTCAGGTTTCAAGGACGGGACTAGATGGATTCACGCACACACACACACACCCCTACCCCCACCCCGAGTTGTTCAGCCCTGTCCCCATGCTCGGTTTTGTTTTCTGCCCCTAATCTCCCCTTCCCATTGAGCCCTCCGTCTGTCAGGCCATAAGCTCTTAGGCTGCTGACACAGAGCCCCCGTGCTGACAGCCTTGACGCCCTGGCTGTGGAGTGGCTGGGCTGGGCGCAGTGTGTCCCAAGTGACAGGCTGTAGTGGGCGCCCTGCAGCACAGCGGGGCAAGGGTCCCCCTCACCGTGACCAAGGCCCTGCAGGCGAACTTCCATCAGCCCTCGAGGCTCAGCCAGGGTCCACCCCAGCGCGAGGTGACCTGCACTTCACTCGGGGGGGGGGCTGGAGAGGTGCAGGACTTGGGGTTCGGTCAGGTTTCCTGTACCACGGTGGGCTTCCGGTTCCACCTGCGCCACCTAGTGGGCGTCTGAGCGGGCTGCTGTGGACACGCCCCGAGCGTGGAATTGGAGACCACCTGAGCCTACAGGGCAGGAAGTGGGTCCCCACAGAGGCCCCGCCCACCCCGTAAAGGCGATGGCATCCGGCAGTGTCCTTTCTGATGCCCTTTCTGGTTCGGATGCCCCATTTTGACATTCCACTTGCTTTCTATTTCGTGAGAGCTAGCAGTTTTGTTGGCACCCAAAACTCATCCATCCAAAAATCATCACATGAACCCGGGACCCCACCATCCAGGCCTCTGCTAGGGTGGGTCTAGAGACATCTCTGAGTGTCGGCCCCAAGGCCCCCAGAGGCATGGCATGGATGAGCAGAGGCCGGTGACGCCTGTGTGTGACACTGCCCCAAGTGAACTTCAGATGGGACTACACAACGGAATGGTCTCTGTCATTGTTCCGTGTGATCGCACCCGCCCGCCCCGTTCCAGGGTGCTCGCCAGGCTCGGGAGCGCCCCCGGTGGTGATGAAACGCTTTATCGCTCCAGGGCTGAAGACACTGCCCTTTCGGTTCTAGCCACAGGGATGAGGGGGCTCGTGGGTTTGCAGGAGGGCACTATCCTCTTGGCCACGCGGAGGGAGGCCAGGGCCTTCCATGACCCCCCGCCGCTTGGCTCCTAGACGCATCAGGGCCCAGCTGCAGGGGCCGTGAGGAGCGGGCGACTTTGTTAATTTATGAACAAGTATGACTGTTTCTCTGATGACAAACACGTTTCAGTTTGGGACTTATTTTCCCACTTGAGAAGTTACTATATATATGTATATATATATGTATATGTGCATGTGTGTATTTATGTGTATATGTGCATTTATATGTATATACACATGTATTTATACATGTATATGTGTGTATGCACACATGCATGTGTGCACACGTGTGTACACACGTGTGTGTTCGTGTGTGTACACATACATAGATACATATACACACATGCATGTGGAAAAGGAGAGTTTCCTATTTAGGGTGTACCTTTCAGCTTCAGTGGGTTTGTGAAGCACAAAGGGTTAAGGTCGGTGTAGTCTCAAACCGCTGACAGCTGTGGCTGCCCGGGCAGCCTTCCCGTACTGAACACCGAGCCATTGTTACAGCAGTTGTGCGGGGTTTTATTATTATTATTATTATGTAAATTGTATAATTTTTCCTTTTTTTGCCCATTTGGGGATCTATTTTTCTAATAGTTTTTATATATGTATAGTTTCCTATTGTGTTGCTAGCTGTGAACTCTGATGCTAACTGCGCACCAGGTCGGTCTCTGTGGGTCCCTCCTGTTTTCATTCTGTTTTGTTCAAGGACGAGTTCAGGTGCCGGTGGCCGCCTGTCCACAAAGTGAAACTCCACGCGTGTGGCCCTGCCCGCCCCTGACATCACTGTGTGGCAGCGGCTCCCGACCAGCCTCCTTGTTGTAAAAATCAGACGCCTTTGTGGTACATACCTTGTGCTTCTCCGGTTTCTAATAAATTATGCCCAATGCTTCCCCTGCTGCCGTGGTCTCAAGGATTCTAAGCACCCAGCTAACACCGAGCGCCACCAAATTGATTCGAGTTGATTCAAGTGACCTGTGTAACTTAACAGTGGAGCTACCCCATAGGGTTTCTAAGCTGTTTTTTTTTTTTTTAATATTTTCAGTGAAAGTTTACACAGCAAATTCAGTCCCCGTTTGACAACTTCTACCCAGGTTGTTCAGTGACATGAGTTATGTTTTTCTCAATGCATCAATG